TATATATATATATATACATATATATATATATATATATATATATACATACATACATACATACATACATACATACATACACATACATATACATACACACACACACACACATATATATATAATATACGTGCGACCGCACCCTAACTTACACTCCTGTGTATGAGCACAGCCTATATAGCACCGCCGTATTCACAGAGCCCTACCTCGGTTAGAAAATACGTCAGCATGCGTGCATTCACAATTAAACCTATACCCCTGTGTATGTGCACATGACTTATAGCCCCACCGATTACCACAGCCCTACCTTTGCCAGCAAATACAGGCGATCTGCCGCCGCCAAGTCCGAATTCCGCGCAAACACATCCAGAGCCACGTGGAACATGGTGACGTTGTATCTGAACCCTTCATCCTGCAGCATGTGCATGTAGTGGAAGACGTCTGCGCTCGAGCGGCACGCGGCAATGCAGTGCTGGTACGCAATCACTGTGGGGGTGTGGCCGTTGTCTAACATATCCGTCAGGACCCCGTTGAGCTCGTAAAGGGTGTCGATAGGTGGTGATGCGCTGTAGGTAGAGTGTAGGTAGGGAAGCGTGGGTGTGAGAGGATTGAGTAGGTACGCAAATTTGGGGTGATGTATATGTTCTTTGACCCAAACCCACGGAAGCGCAGAGTGGGCACCGCACAAACGTACACAGCTCGGCAACTCAGCCACACAAGCGTCTACAGTCCACTAAGACACGCATACATACGACTAAGACACGCAAACATACGACTAAGACACGCATACATACGACTAAGACACGCATACATACGATTAAGACACGCATACATACGACTAAGACACGCATACATACGACTAAGACACGCATACATACGACTAAGACACGCATACATACGACCAAGACACGCATATATACAACTAAGGCACGCATACATACGACAAAGACACGCATACATACGACTAAGACACGCATACATACGACCAAGACACGCATACATACGATTAAGACACGCATATATACGACTAAGGCACGCATACATACGACTAAGACACGCATACATACGACAAAGACACGCATACATACGACTAAGACACGCATACATACGACTAAGACACGCATACATACGACTAAGACACGCATTCATACGACTTAGACACGCATACATACGTAAGGGTCGAGAAGGTGGCTGTGCGCTTCTCCCTGAACTCTTGAGCTATCTGTGCTCTCCACAGATGGTCTGCGTATTCGGGTGTGGCATGCACAGCAATACCAGCCATGATGTCGTTGTACGTGCGTGGGCTGAGCTTGGCCCCCACCCGCTTCAGCGATTGGTATATGCTAGGGATCCTGCAATGGCGAGGGATGGTCTGATATAAGTATATAGGCGATTATAGATGATTGGGCGGGGGGGAGGGGTAGATGAGGCTCATGCAATAGCGAATGATGGTTTGATGATAAGTATATAGGCGAGCATATATATTTGGGGGGTAGATAAGGCTCATAGGCTTAGCACTTGCTGCGCACTGTAGGTGTCCATTGCACTGTGATGCCAGCCATCCCATCTGCGGGTATGGGTAAGTACCAATTCTCAACCGGACTCATTGTCAACCCAGAACCCCACCCCCACCACACAGCCCGACAGGACAGGTTAAAGTAAACAGATGCGGTGGCATAACTGGTGCAGCGACACACATCTTCGCTGGTGTCAGGCAAGGGGTGTTTGCGAGACCAGTTTGAATAGTAGCACCCAAAAGACAAGAGAACCCTATACCCCGTGTATACATTTAAAAAGAAGGCGCACATCACAAACCCTCCTGCACGTTGAACTAAATAGCATGTATACATACAGGTTGCACAAGAGAATCATGTACAGAACATATAATAACCGTCGATCATCTACTAGGGCCGGCCATACATACTTATCGAACCGACTGTGGTGCTGATATGATTTAAGCAGAGTCCACGCCAGTTTGTCGGTGATGAAAATGCTACTGACAAATAGCCTGGATGTTAAGTCATCTAGATTCCGCGTGTCCTTGTCGTTGATCGCAAGCTGTGTAGGTAGATTCGCGTCATAGGGCCACCGCATAGAAGTTGAGATTGTTGAGAAAGGAGAGATAGGATAGTCGGATGATATATATATACAAAAGTGCATACTCATATGTACATCGAGACAATTCACACACACACACACTAAACAAAAAGTGATAGCATATATATATATATATATATAATATAATATATATGTCGGACACGCTCATTCGCTTTCAGATACCTACAGATGCATTCGCGCTTTAACTCACTTTGAATAGGCCGATGTATGTGTGGGCGTCAGGTACGATGCTCGCTCGCATCATGTCCTCCAGAACACTCATTGCGGTGTGACTGGTGCTCTGCAGGGCTACGTGGATGTCCCAAACTCTTCGGAACACCCACGAATCCACAGGACACACAGAGCTGTGGCAGGAGACATGCATTGGGACTGGTTATCTAACTATCATGGTCGCGTAAGCAGGTAGAGCCCAATAAAGTATAAGCCAGGTACGTTTTCGGTATAGCGTTAGTGGTGGATATGGATTTAACCGTCAAATGTGAACGAAGGTAGAAGGAAGGCTGTGTCTGAAATCAAACTCCACCGCCGGCCCGTCAAGCGTTTCTCACATCCATGCACGCGGAAGGATACAATACACACACACTATCTGGTACACATATATGCAGCCTGAACGTTCCACGATTAATATGCACATACTATATGGTACACATATATACAACTTAAACGTTCAAACAAACGTTAAACGATTAATGCATACATACTATTTGGTACATATATGCAGCCTAAACGTTCAACAATTGATATACACATACCATATGGTACAGATGTATACAGCCTAAACGTTCAGCGATTAACGCATACATACTATCTAGTACATATATACAGCCTAAACGTTCAACGATGAACTACTAATGGTACAACAATAGGCACAATGCTACATCAAAGTACCCACCTCGTAGCTTGCTTATACAGATCCAACGCCTGCCGGTCAAAGCCGTTGTCGTGCAACTGCTTCAGACAGCGTGCGACATCCTTCTCCGTGACCCGTCCCGCTTTATTCCGGGATTCGAAGTGCTCTAGCGCTTCGGCAGACTGAGGGATGTTTAGGATTGAGATAGTTGAGATTTTATGGATTAGTAGAAGAAAACCCAGGTTTTGCTTTAGGTTTACTTCCCCCCTCCCCCCCAGGTTTACTTTTTAGCTTTTTAGAAAAGCGAATGCGGTGGTAAACGGACGGTCGCGTACAGTGGTCTGATGGGGCGAGGGCTGAGTGTGAAGATCTGATCTCACCAGTTGACACTGACATCGCTATCAGCAAAGGTCGATTGCAGTAATACCCACCGGCTTAGGTTTGGGTTCAACAACTAGACAGTAGCCTACCAGGTGCTTGCCGAGCTCATACGTTTAAATGATGGTGCGTGTGTTGGTACAAGACGTACCGAACTGGTCCTGGCGACAATGTCTGATATGCTGTCGGCGAAGGGCGATGTGTTGCCCGCATTTGGGCCACTTCTACCTTTCGTTCCTTTCACGGGTTGCGATGTAAATACCTGAGTGGACGAGTCGAACAATGAATATATATATATATATATATATATTTATATACACACATACATACATACATACATACATACATACATACACACACACACACACACACACACACATATATATATATATGAATTCGGCGGATAGTAGCAGTGTGCGAACGAGACTTCCAGAAACACCAAGCCCACGTTTCGGATCATCAAGAATAAATAGAATTGCCCGGGCAACTACAGGTGTATATTCATCTCAGTGGGATACTATTCAGCCATGTCGAGGGAATCTGATTATTCAGCACACAACTGCCTATGTCCCTATATGGCATCGTACAGATACATTGAGACGGGTCAACGCGGCGATCAAGCAACTTATCGATTATATACACACACTTCATCGTTGGATACAACACAACACACATTGAGCCTTACGTGAATATATATCACAGACCGCTGAGGGGTTTTAGGTGCGCAAACGCCCGACGTGCATCAGATACATATCATGTGAAAGCACACGCAGTGCGTAAGAGTACCTCAGGTGAAGCACACGCGGTGTGTAAGAGTACCTCAGGTGAAGCACACGCGGTGTGTAAGAGTACCACTGCACACAGCAATGCGTGTCTATGGCTCTAAACCCGACGCAGTGGAAGGCACAAACATGCCAGCAAGTACTGTGATACAGCCAATAGTATACAACAACAAACCTAAGGATGGGTCTATACGCGTATTTGACTACTTTCGCACATAGGTACATATAAACAGACACATAAATACATACACATATACAAACACATACACAAATCGACAGGAACACAACGACGTGTCCACACATTGAACATATATTCATATCCCCTCTGCACTAACCATGGGGCTTCCGCCTGGCACAGGCTGAGTAGTGCTGATCTCTAGTTTGGCAGGGGAATTCCTCTTAGTGACCTTTCTGCTACTGACTACACGCACAAGCTGCGCCACATCCGCAGCCCCGACGGCCGCTTTCATGGCTGTATATAAGTGCGTATTAAATATGCGGTATTGGCATTGAAAATTTGAAATAAATGTTTGCGTGTAAGCACGTAAGATATATATATATATATATAAAATATTCGCGTCACATATACAGTCACAAATAAAAACACACTAAAATTCCGAACACACACAGACACAGACACAGACAGACATATGTATAGCCGTAATAATCCAATACGCGAGTACAATATTCCAGAACCCCAGATGTAACACGCACAGGAGGATATAAGACGTACAAACGCACCTGTGGCATACGTGATGTCGTGGTACATAATCTCCCCCTGGCTGGCAGTGAGATCGTCATACAGTCTCAAAGCGACGTTGAATTGGCCAGCACGCACACACGCTTGCATGGCACTGGCGCAACAGTACTCGTCCGCTAACCCGGTTTTTGTTACCAGGCGATGGTAGAAGTTCACCGCCTTTGTAGGGTAGGGTGGTATGTGGGAGTGTGATCAGTGTCGGTACGCCAATGAATAGCACTGGGTTTATGTGTGCTCCAATATATATATTAAACAGTAAGTATAAAATATCTCAAATAAATCAAACGGACATGTACGCACACCTATGCAAATGTTTTCGTACGCACATACAAAAGTGCAACCGTGCCTCAGTTCTTGTGCGTACACACACATTGAGCTCTTAGTAGTCCGCCTGGGGTATATGTGCATACATGCCTGTAGCCGCTAATGTACATGCACACACATCTGTGTAAATAAGAACATATATAGTCACAAACACACAACGTCTTGCGAATGGACTCACCTCCCGCCAGTCTCCAGCGTTCTTCTCTGCGGTGATGGCCAGCGCGAACGTGCGACTATCGGGCTGTATCTGTAGACCTGAGCCACGCAAAGTACAAGCATGGAGTGAAAATGTTAGTTGATGCACTTGAACAAACCCAACAACTGCCATGCAAAGTACACGCATGGTGTGAAATGGTTAGTTAATGCACTAAGGAGAAAAGGACTGAACAAACCCCAACGTACATACATACATACATACATGCATACATACACACACACACAGACGCACACACACACACACACTCACTATATATATATATATGCGCATGCCCTATGCTTGTTCATATCCGTCAGTCCTAGCAACAAATTCAGCACAACAATGAATAGATTGTAGGCTTTGACGTCATTGAACCCTAAAACCCAAAACATGTACTAATCATTTGCAACAATAGCCCACCATCAACAGAGTGAAATAAAAAAAATAAAAAAATAAAACCAAATTAAACCGTACAACCCTGCACACCTTTCATTTGTCGTAGCAGTCTCTCCGCCGCATGTGATTGGCCCGCGGTTAAACACGTGGCGATGGCCAGATTGAACGACAGAGCATTCAACACGTTTCTGCCGGGCGTGTATGCGTTTGCCTCAGTAGGCGCAGGCACGCGTGAGCTCTGGTCATCCGGGTTTAAACGCGTTGCTAGTGTCGTATCAGTATCGGTATCGGTATGTATACTTGTAGTTGAAGCAACCCCTGAACAGTCACCCCCTCTCCTCTGTTCGCTCGACACCCCCCCATCGCCCAATTGCATAGGCCGGTCGTATACGTTGGGGCTTGCAGCCGTAGATAGATCGTCTAATAATAGCACAGCTTCTTCCCATGCCGCGCCCCTTTCCGCACCCAAAGTCAAGCGTGGCCCGGTTTTGGGCTTCCGGCCTTTGGCCAAATCACCACCCGTAGACTGCTTCTATTCAGTATGAGCGAACCAGATACAATACGTCAGTAACTATAGGATTGAAAGCTTGGGAGTCCACAGTTAAATGTGACAATGTATTTCTACACGCCCGTACTCCGGGCGACACACCCGCTGCGTACATATCATCATACGCATATAATGTATAGCGTGTGTACTGCAACTGTGTTTGACCTTTTCACACCCTATTATAGTATACAATACATATATATATATATATATATATAGATATAGATATAGAAATATGTAGATATATATATATATATATACATACATATACATATACATCCCACTTCCTACATATAAACACTCTATCAATACACGCATACCTGCACGACAACGGCTTCCTGATGCGCCTTGAGACTCCTCAGCACAAGGTTACACGCTCGCACCCCGGGCGACACACCCGCAGCATCCATATCGTCCCACACATCCAATGCATAGCGTGTGTGCTGCGCCTGTGTACATCCCTGCAACACCTTTGTGTACATGTCGGTTGGGGTAGGGAATCCCTCGTTGGAGAAGTACATCGGTGAGACGCCATAGTGTGCCATAGTTCGGTACCACTGGTAGGCGTAGTGCGCGTGTTGAGGGCTCTCGCTGACGGCGTTCATGGCGTCGAAGAACCTGTTGTATAAAAATAGGACAGGGGTAAGGATATGTCAAGAACCTGTTGTGTAAATATAGGACAGGGGTAAGGATATGTCAAGAACCTGTTGTGTAAATATAGGACAGGGTAATGATAGGTCGAAGAACATGTTGTGTAAATATAGGACAGGGGTAAGGATATGTCAAGAACCTGTTGTGTAATTATAGGACAGGGGTAATGATAGGTCGAAGAACCTGTTGTGTAAATATAGGGCAGGGGTAAGGATAGGTCACACGCACACACACACACAGCACCCCAACAATACATGCCCACGTCCTATATACTGAAACCAATTTACCAATTGATCTGTGCACACACACCGATGGAGGGTTTAGGGTAAGTTTAGATAAGCCTAAGCACAAACCCTAACCACCCACGTGGTACGCGCCGTATTCCCACATAAACTGCTCTCGCACATGACATAGCAGCACACAGTCGGCTGGTACACCCATGTGTACCGTACACAGTTCTCGACAGGGCCATTCCCGGCCCAACTACACTCAGTGACACTCAAATGACACCACTCTAGATGCATGCAGAGGCTATGGCCTACAAATACTGCACACCTATTGACACTCAAATGACACCACTCTAGATGCATTCACCCATTGACACTCAAATGGCACCACTCTAGATGCATGGAGAGGCTATTGCCTGGAAGATACTGCACGACACACACAGAAACAATACACACACACAGAAATAATACACGCACACAGAAACAATACACGCACACAAGTGGTGTGCGATGCCCTTTGCCCACGCACCATTTCACATCCGGCACATGTAGTGTCTCGTATGCAGTGCTGGGCGTATGTCGCGTATATGCCTGCGTTGTGACCGTCCGCTCAGCCGCAAGTTCACTCTCCAGCAGAGTCTGCTCAGAGCTATTGCGGTTTGGCACGCCCTGTCCTGGTGGCTGTGGCTGTGACGGGGTGAGTCCAGTAGCTGAAGCGCTCTCTGATGGGGACTGTGTATAGCCGATGCTGGCAAGATACTGCGTTGCTATAGCTACGGCTGTTCCGGGGCGGTCTTGCTCCACACACGCCTTCAGGAAGACACTGGACATGCGCCTAGTTTTGAGAGAGAGAGAAAGAAAGAAAGAGAGAGAGAGAGAGTGTGTGTATGTGTTTGAGAGAGAGTGGGAGAGAGAGAGAGAGAGAGGAGGAGAGAGAGAGAGAGAGAGTGTGTGTGAGAGAGTGAGAGAGAAAGAGTGTGAGTGAGGTAATGAGTATGAGAAGTTGGCAGCATACACATATGAATATCTATGGCATAGTTGTGTCACATCACACATGTTAGGAGTGTGAGTAGGCAAGTGTATACACATGGCTCTCAAAGCTTTGAGGTGTATCGCAACACCCTGCCAGGTGTTTGAGAAGTCAGCGTACACATATGTATCTATAGACCGAACATACGTATATATACGCGATGTTCCAATATTTGATCACGAAGCAGACATATGACTGTACACATATGTAACTATAGACTGAATATATGCATCTAAACGCGATGTACCACTGTCTGATTACGAAGCAGGCATATGACTTTGACGGCCATTTGAACTGCAAACACACACAATGAGGAATGTACCGAACATGCGCCTGGTGGGAGTGTCAGGTGTGTGTGAAGTGAGAGTACCCGTGGTCTTCCAGTGATGGTGGTAATCGATCCGAGCTTCAACGATCCACATTTATAACGTTGCAACATCGGATGGTTACTGTATAGGTTGGTTTATTCGGACACAGTGTACCGAACCGCACACGCGAGTCACACGTAGATGCACATCCATGTCATCCCATAAAAAGACAAAGGTGGACCTTTCATATACCCCACACCCACCCACACGCATAAGCAACACATCAGATTAAGCACACGCACACTAGCCAACCCCGTCCAGACCCCAACAGCCGAACAACCCAACAGACTCACCTGGTGATCGGCATATCTCGACTGAGCATCATATCACGCACATGCATGACGCCGATACTATCCTTCAGTCGCACATAGGCCAACGCTGCCGTTTGGAATGTGATGTGGTCCACCACGTATTTAGGACCAATGCCATTCCCCACATACGCACCTACGCCTGAGGCGACGTTAGCGGCTTCGTCTACTAATATGCGCTTGTAGAGATTGATGGTCTGTGCAGGTGATGGGGTAGGGGCAGGGAGATATATACATAAGTCATGTTATGATATAATCAAAAACCATGTTGTATATGATGTACAGATAAGCCATGTTGTATATGATATACACATAAGCCATGTTGTATATGATATACACATAAACCATGTGTAAGTGAATAGACTAGTGCCTGAGCAGTGTTATCCACCGGAGTGAACTTGTGGAGGTTGATAACCTGTTCATGTCATGTGATATAGAGGACGAGGCAGATGACCGTCGCACGCACCTAATGATAAGAAAGAGGTCCACCTAATGAAAAAGAAAAAATCTTGCTTACTTCTTGAGCTACCATACAGTTTGATGCTATCGCCCGATGTTTACATCCGCAATGACAGTTTCTATGTCAATATATATATATATACCTATACCTATATAAACACATACACGTATATAAATCTATATAGTTAGATACACAGACATATATATATATATATGTACAGATACAAACAACGACACATATATACACAGACATATATATATAGGTAAAACACAGACACAGACACAGATATATATATATATATATATATGCATACCTAGACACATATACATATATATAGATACATAAACAGACACTTATATACATCTATCTAGATACATACACCGACACATATATACATATATATAGATACATACACAGACACACACGGGTTGTATATAGCTACATACACCGACACATATATACTTATATAGATACATATACATCTATATAGATACATGTACATAAACATATATATATATAAATAGATATTTTCACCGACACATAATACATCTATATAGATACATATACAGGCACATAAATACATATGTAAGACACATGCAGAGACACATATATACATACATAGAATAAGAAACATACATACATCTATATATAGATACATACACCGACACATAATACATCTATATAGATACATATACAGACACATACAGAGACACATATATACATATATATAGATACATACACAGACACATATATACACATGGATAGATACATACACATACACACATGCCTATATATATATATATATGCCTATATATATATATCATGATAGTACAACCTACCAAAGTGGGCTGCCCTGCGTCGAGTGCAGCCATTAAGGCCATGTTGTACTGGTACGTCTTGATCTCACTGCGGTTATAAGTCATGCGGCTGATCACATCCAGCGCTACCTTTCCCTCGCGTGCATACCTACACGTCTTCAGCACATGCGCGTACGTGGCATCGTCTGGTGTTACACACCCGCGTGCGTTGTTTTCGTAGGCCGATAGCATTGCCTCGTACACGTCAAGGGCTTCGGTCCACCGCCTGTGCACGCGACAGGGCAGGCGCGAAAGGGTGTGAGCTGTTTGTTGTACCAGAACGAACTGTTACTAGGGGGTTTGTGGTTTTTTCAGAGGGGGGTGGGGTGGGGGGCTTTTATTGGGTCAGGGGTTAGGGGTTAGGGTTTACTAAACCCTATCAGGTTGTTCTGATTCATGTATATAATTGCGCACGCCTTTAGTTCTGTGGCCCGCCCGTATGCACGTATGTAGTCGCGGCGGCTCATCAGCATTCCAAGCCTAATTTGCATGGTCTATGGCCATGATCGAAGCCACAGGTGCCCACAGGTTGCAATGAAAGATACGATTTATGTGTATAGGAATATGTCCATAAGTCTGTGTACTATTTATGTGCATAGGTATATGTCCATGTGTCAGTGTACTGTTTATGTGTATAGGAATATGTCCCTGTGTCTGTGTACTATTTATGTGTATATGAATATGTCCCTGTGTCTGTGTACTATTTATGTGTATAGGAATATGTCCATGTGTCAGTGTACTATTTATGTGTATAGGAATATGTCCATGTGTCAGTGTACTTTTTATGTGTATGGGAATATGTCCATGTGTCTGTGTACTATTTATGTGTACAGGAATATGTCCATGTTTCTGTGTATGCCAACTGTATTGTCGCGCGGACGACCATCTTCTGTCCATTGTCTATACCACTGCTCTCAGTGACTGGAGCTAAAGTATAGCGATTGGCAGATGAAAGTGAATCCGCCTGTATAATATATATATATATAAATATATATATATAATAAGTATTTATTCTTACACAAAAACGACCACTAATTCGCTGTTTCCGCAGGTCAGTTGCATCACCCCGTAGACATTCATTTCCCATTGCACTCACAAGTGACGGATGGTATGGTTTAAAGACCATGCCCCACATGCTTGTGTGTGTATAGTATGCGGTGCGTACACATAGTCTAACCACTACCGCTTGTGAGAAAGGTCTTGTCGTTGGTGGTAAGTTGGATACAGGACAGTCGTACATCGGTGATAAGACTAACAAACTAGACAGAAGTATACTGCACCGTGGTAGTGTTGTCAGATTGAAGCGCATTGAAGCATACCTATACGTTGACGTATGTTTATCTGTACCAAGCCAGGTGCAGTATGTCAACAATTCAAACAGCAACGTACCATGAAAATACATACGTATATATATACGTATACACCTACTCGCAGATACGCGTACCCAAATGACCGAATTTCACACACACACACTTCTATTCGTGTTTTGCTGAACGTATATCAATCCGCCTACTGAGCAATACCTGTTGGCGTTACAAACGGAAATGGCTGTATTGTAGATGTGGGCTGTCGGTGGGACATTGGCTGTCTTGGCCATACGTAGCAACTCCATAGCCAATGGGAAGTCATTGAGTTCTCGGACGATATCTGCAGATCATTTAACACAACGCAAACGCAAACGCAAACACAAAACAGGTTGAAGGTGATTAACGTTGTGCGTAAATATCTATCACAAACACACACAGGTTGAAGAAGATTAACGTTTGGCATTAAAAGCTGTATCTCTTTCAGAATGCCAAGAAGCGAATGGGGGTAGGTTTAGGCTGGCATTGGCCTGTCGGCACAGTATGCGCTATGCGCGCGAACAGTGAGACGTGACCGAGACACAGGGGGAACTTACACTCAACATACGGAGATACATGGCACCTACATTGCGGGGATGACTATGAGAGTTCTATATATATGCGATAGTGCGACCCTCGTAGGCATAGGCTTGCTATATGGTATACAGAACGCTAATAAAGCACGCAGATACGCCGTAGGTTTGTGTAAGAGGTGCCGTACAACAACGAACGTGCATGAACCAGCTATTTGAGTGCCGACAACCTTACACGATACACACACACACACAAACACAGACACAGACATACTTATACATACATACGTATCGAAGCTTTTAACTGCAGGTAATCTTCAATAGCCGACGTTATTTACTTGCATACATGCACACAGCCACCAGCGACACACCAAAATGGCACTTAACACGCTAAGGTATAGGAGTGTAGGGTTCAGCGGTTTAGCTAAACAGAAAGCTCAACTATGACAGCTGTTGTTCTATCCAGCATACTCACAGACAGCGCACAAAGTTGTTGGCTACTCAGACATTCACGACCATTGTGCGAGACGGCTACTACAACCATGTACCGAACTTTAATACATACACTCAAAAAACAAAAACACCAACACTCACTATCTGTATTGTGGTACTACATACTGCCACCACACATACTTATCGAGTACTCATAGCCGGAGATATCCATCAGTCTCGACCGTTTGGCCAGGTACGCCATGAAATGCTCCATGGCCACGCCGCGATCGCCACTCAAAGTCGATCGAGCCAGCGCCATGATCTTGTTCAGCGGCAAGAAGCGCACGTTGACATCCAGCCTGCGTCTGTCTATGCTTGCTAAGGCGGTCGGTCCTTTCCTCTTGGCGGCGTTGTGATCGTAGTTGGACTTCCCCTTCCGCGCGCGAGGGTCAAACGAACCCTCGTGCGCCTGGGAAGAGCGAGGCGCAGGCGCTGGTGAGGGGTGTGGGGGCTGGTGGGGATACGGGTATTGGTGTTGTGATGGTTGTTGTTCATGTGGTGCTGGTGCCTGTGCCTGGTACTGTTGGTGTTGGTGTGGGTGTGGGTGTGGCAATGCATCGGGTGGTTGGCGTGTGAGTGGTGTTTGGTGTGCCTGTTCTGGCTGGGGTTGTGGTTGTGGCTGGGCTGGTTTCCTCCCATTTACAACACTTTCACTCGCCAGACGACGCTCACCCGCCAAAGCATCACTATGTGCTTCGCCCGTTCCCCTAAGTCCTTTATTTCCCGTTGCTGGTCCACTTTCCTTATACCCAGCCAGCACCTTCCCCCGCCCGCTCGCATCATCACTCGGTAGTAGACCACTTTCTCCTCGCCCATCACCTAACCTTACATCCCTCCCATACGTCCCCTGTACACCCAGCAGTTGTGCCATACCGGCATCCGGTACAAGAATATTGCCCTTCTCTATTTGCTGCTGAAACGCGCGCTCGCTGACTTCCAACTCCCCAAACAACGGCAACGCCTCGGCGCCGACAGATGTACCGAACTGCTCGTCCGCAACACGCGGGCTTTTGCCATAGATCTCATTCTTTGATCTCCCACCGGGGGGTTGGCGCCCCTGATTGGTCGCCTCGCCATCCTGTCGGACTTTGCTGGTCTCTAGAGATTCTATACGCTCTGTTTACGAAGTATGGGTGGCTGGAGTTGAGTTATATGTACTTTGCGGATGCCGGTATATCTGCTCCTGCACATCGTGTACGGAATACCGAGGGCATATGATTTCTATAAAGCGTTGGCGACAGAACTAATGAAGAATGCGGGCACGTGACTTAAAGCGTCCGATCAGTGCAAACAGCTTCCTATATCTAATACGCTACAAACTGCGGCCAATTTACATACATGTCGGCCGTAAAATTCACAAATGCAGGAGACATCAAAGGACAATAACGGTTCAAGAATATAGATACATATATATAAGGAGATGAATTTATATATACATAAATTACGGATACACATATATATGAACTTAAAACAAACTCATAGACATTTATATATACTATTAAACGTATATGTACATATATATATATATATGCGAAAACAAACAAACACGCACATGAAAATAAATATTAACATAGATAGATATGAATATGCAAACATACTATACATATACATATATATATATATATATATATATACATACGTATACATATACATACATATATATACATATACATAAGTA